AACGCAAACAGGCAGCTCTACATCTAGTGCCACCGATCCTGCTAACGCAAACAGGCAGCTCTACATCTAGTGCCACCGATCCTGGGCTATGGGCAACAGAAAACCATCATCTTTACAGTTTGTCAAGCCAGGGTCCCAGAAGAGATGACTGCGCTCACTCACTGCTATGCAACTGTGAGCACTGGCAGCGCTGCTCATCATCTGGCACTGAGTTAGTACAGACACAACCATGTTCTTTTAAATTACTTCTTCCCCTATTCAACCCCTCCTCCGCTTTGATTTTAACTTAGAAAACAACAGAAAAACTGCCTCATCTTCCCCAAACATACAGTGCGTGCTTTCTAGTTGTTCCCTGAATGTATTTTAATATATTTCAAAATTCTTAGTATTGCCAAACTCCACTTTTCCAGCATTATGTCGGATTCAACTTTTTATCCAGCCTATGATGGAGCTTTCAAGTGTGTTTTGTTCACTCAAAAAAAATCACCGTGTTGGTTTTCATGCTCTTTGTAAAGCACTGGATGTATCAGTGTGTTTGAGATGCAAAGAGCAGAGGAAGCTTGTCTGTCTTTGGTCCAGTTCTGCATGCAGTGTAATTAAACTTGGCCCTTACTACTTTCTACAGCCTATTTTCCATTCGTGGTTGGAAACAGACTGTATGGGCAAGTAGCAGATGTTTCCTTTTAGTTCACATATTGGGCATCCACACAGTAACATGGAGAAAATTATTTTCTAGGAAGATGTGTTGTGGGGAACTATGGCTCCTTTCGTGCTCTACATATTTCAGTCAGATTTCCTGGGGCTCTCTTTTTGTCCACAAGATCATTATTCAGTCTCTTTGGTGGAAAAGTAAGAATACAGCTACAGCATACAGGTTTTAACCTTGGCAACAAACATCTCAGGCACACTCCAGTGAGGGGAGTTCACCCACCTTTTCTGACCTTCCACTGCAACTTCAGCACTATTTGGCCATGTTCTTTTCCTTAGCCCTACGCTACTGCAAGACATGGCTCTGCTCTGACATGTTTAACATCCAAGCGGTAAGTGGA